GACCTGTACATAACGCACAGATGTTTGTTTTAAATAAATAAAAAAAGTCCATGCAAGCCGGTGTGTGTGGGGGGTGGGGTGTGGGGTGAAGGGGCCCACTGGATGCCAGGACACAGCACCTGCCCGCAGGCACCGGGCTCAGGCTGGGGGAAGAAGACGGGGTCAGCCTGGAGGAGGGGCTGGGCTCCTCTCCCCTCACTGTCCCTTCTAAGCTGAGCTGTCAGTGCTGCTGGGAAGGGCCCACAGGCAGGGGCTCAAGAGAGACAAGTTTCCCCCAGACGTGAGGCCCTGCAGGGGCCCTGAAGGGGAAGGTGGGCAGCTGCACGGGCCCCTCCAGCGGCTGCTCTGCGGATGTGGCAGGGGTGGCGGGGAGGGTTAGACAATCCGAGCCCCGGGGAGGCTGTGGTCCTATTAAGGTTGGTAAACGGGTTTGTTTTCACTTTTTTAAAAACATGGTAGGCATTTCAGACAACACAAGCAGATAGAAAGCACAGATGGCCTGTCTGTGTTTCTAGTGTCAGAGGTCATTCTGCAGGATGCACGCGTAGGCTCAGAGTCACAGGTATGAACGCATGGTATTTTCAGTTTGCTGGGTTTCTCTCTCCTTGGCCCGGTTTGCTAGGGTCACCCTAACAGAGAACCACGACCAGGCAGCTTAAACACCAGACACCTACTCTCTCACCCTCTGGGGCCCGAAATCCAAGATCGAGGTGCTGGCAGGTTGGATCCTCCTGAGGTCATGGGTGGCGAGAGCTCCCTGCTCTCCCAAGCCGCTGGGGGTCTTGTGGCTGTCTCCAGTGTCCAGTAGGAGCATTGCCTGGTTCTCTGCCTCCAGCTCCACACAGGGATCTCCATCTGCATGTGTGAAGGTGTCCATATCTGCCCTTTTTATGGGGACGTGGTCATACAGGGCTAACACCCATTGCCATGACCTCATCTTGATCACCCTCATCTCCAAATACAGTCACATTCTGAGGGTGGGGGATGGGGGGAGGACCCGAACGTGTGAATTAAGAGGGGACAGCCATAACACCAGGAAACCTCAGGCTAGTGGGACCCGCCCTCTGTCCGCCTCCGTGGATGCACCAGGCTCCCAGTCCCAGGGGACTGCAGACCACTGATTCATCCTTCGTGTACTTACGGGGCCGTCCCAGAGGCACTGCTGTTTACCAGGGGCAGCCCCAGGAGTGCGTTTCCCCACATCATTGCCAAGAATATGGTTGCCACATTTCTGTCCGTTGAACCACAAGCCATTATCTATCTTGTTCTGATTTGTTCTCGAAATACGTGTGCAATGAAACCCTCATGTGTTCTGCTGGGTGTTTTATTTCCTTTATTCTGAGCCACCTGTTCATTGCACCATTTTCCTAACGGACGTGTGAGGGTGTTTTTACACACAGGCCATCTGGTGAGCAGGTCCAGGTGTGGAGGGCCCAGGCCTCCTCCAGGATGGGTTGTGTGACAAAGCAGGAAGCCAGCTGGCGACCCCCTACCAGCGGTTGCGGAGCTGCCCATGGTGGCGGCATATGGGTCCGAGGCCCAGGCCCCGAGGCCACAGTACGTCCAGGTCAGCCCGGCTCGTGGCGGGGCCCGTGCCCGGGGCCCTGACCAGTTCTGGGTCCGGAGAGGGGCTGTCAGGCTGGGTCCGGGTGGGGCGGGGCCCTGGGCCTGGAGGAAGGCGCGTGCAGACCCCACGGTGGCCACCAGGCGGCGCGGCGCCTCCACAGCCCTCCCCGAGGCTCCGCCCCCAGGCCCGGCCCGGGCAGGGGGCGCTGGGAGCGGCCGCTACCGGGCAGGTGCGCGCGCACCTGGGGGCGGCCAACCCCCAGCCTCCTCTGGCCCTTCCTTCCAGTCCGGGGGCAGGGCCGTCCCCAGGGGTCAGAAACTTGCGGCTTCTAACACCAAGAGCTCTTCCTTTCAAAGGTTAAGGACCGGGAGAAACACACCCCGACCGCGCAGGGGAGGGGCAGGGGCGTGGGGTGGGCGCGCCCCGGGGACAGCTCACAGGTGGGAAGGGGGCGTCCCTTCCAAGTGGCTTCCCACTCTTGCGGCTCCCTGGTCGGCAGGTGGGGAAACGGAGGCTGTGGCCAGGCTCTTCCCAACTCCCCCGCTCCCTGGCCTTCGGGGCGTCCACTGGACGGAGGGCGGTGGGGTCCCCGGCGGGGCTGACCCTGACCCGGAGCTGCCCCCGCCCAGTCCACTGCCTCCACCTCCATCACTCTGCCCCCCTTCCCTCCCCCGGGACCCCTGGGGGCTGCGGTCCGGTCTGAGCACCCTTGTGCCCGCCCCGCAGGAGCCTGGCAGCCTGTCCCGGCTGAGGTGACTCCACAGGGCGGGCCGGGGCTGCGGAGGGCGGGGCGCTCGGAGAACGTTAAAGAGGGCTCCCGGGCCCGCCCAGGCCCTGCTGCCGCGGCCCCCACCATGGCCGAGACCGGCAAGCTCCAGCTGTTCGTCAAGGTACCAAGCTGCCTGGGCTGGGGGGCGGTCCCGGGGAGGAGTGCTCTGTGGGGCTCTACTTTCTGGGGCAGGCTGAGGCAGGGGTCTGCAGCAGTGTCCTCTGAGGCGGTGGGCTCAGGCTGTCTCTTGGAGGCTGTGTAACTGGGTGGGGGGGGGGGGGGCGCGGGCGGTGCATTAGAAGGGAGAGCGCGCCATCCCCGAAAGGGCGGCGGCGGCCCCCTTCTCCTGGGAAAAAAAGCCCTTAGGGGCTGTGCCAGGCAGACAGAGGGAGGCCGGGGCTCAGGGGCTGTGTCAGGCAGCCCGCTCAGCGCCCGGATCTGTGACCCCTGCGAAGGGACTTCCAGGTCCTGGCCTCCCCCCACCCTTGCAGCCCAGGGCAGCAAGGTGCCCAGTCCAACGGGATGAATCACTCAGAAAACAGCTCCATCGGCCCGACCCACCCTTGTGACCATCCTGCAGGGCCTGGTGCCCAGGGGCCTGGCCTCTGCCCAGGCTCTGAAGGGTCAAGGGGCCAGGCCCCAGAGCCAGGGTCCCACCCCCACACCCCTCATCCTGGCGCCCTGCCCAGCCTCCGGGCCCTTGGCAGCTCTGCAGACCCCTCCTCCCAGGGACCAAGTCAAGGGCCCTCACCAGCCACTTGTCGAGGCTGTGCCTGAGAGAGCTGGAGCCCTGGGCTTGCTCTGGCCTCTGGGCAGCAGGAGCTCGCAGGGGTCCTGGGTGTGCCCCCTGCCCTGGCAGCCCCGTGTCCCCCACCCCAGGCCAGCGAGGACGGCGAGAGCGTGGGCCATTGCCCCTCTTGTCAGCGGCTCTTCATGATCCTGCTTCTCAAGGGCGTGCCCTTCACACTCACCACCGTGGACACCCGCAGGTGAGCCCTGCCCCAAGTCCCTGGCCTCACACTCCTCTGCCAGCCGCCTCCCGCCCTGCCTCGTGCCCACAGGTCCCCGGAGGTGCTGAAAGACTTCGCTCCGGGATCCCAGCTGCCCATCCTGCTCTGCAACGGCGACGCCAAGACCGACACGCTGCAGATCGAGGAGTTTCTGGAGGAGACGCTGGGCCCCCCAGAGTGAGGGCCGGGTGCAGAGGGGCCTGCAGACAGGCCACCCCCGGGGCAGAGCCCAGGAAGGGCAGAGCGGGCCGGGAAGGTGCAGCGCACTCTGACCCGAGCCCCCTCCCGCTCCAGATTCCCCAGCTTGGCGCCCAGATACAGGGAGTCTACCGCGGCGGGCAACGACGTCTTTCACAAGTTCTCTGCCTTCATCAAGAACCCGGTGCCTGCGCAGGACGACGGTGAGGATCTGGAGGCGCGGCGAGGGTGGCGGGAGAGGCGCCCTGGCCGGTCCTCACCAGGCCCCTCGCCCTCAGCTCTGTACCAGCAGCTGCTGCGCGCCCTCGCCAAGTTAGACAGCTACCTGCGCGCGCCCCTGGAGCACGAGCTGGGGCGCGAGCCGCAGCTGCGTGAGTCCCGCCGCCGCTTTCTGGACGGCGATCAGCTCACGCTGGCCGACTGCGGCCTGCTGCCCAAGCTGCACATCGTGAACGTAAGCACCGGGCGGGGCGGGACGGGGCCCGGCGGGCAGACTCTCCAGGAGACCCTGACGGCGCCCCTCTCCCACAGACGGTGTGCGCGCACTTCCGCCAGGCTCCCATCCCCGCTGAGCTGCGCGGCGTCCACCGCTACCTGGACTGCGCCCTGCAGGAGAAGGAGTTCAAGTACACGTGTCCGCCCAGCGCTGAGATCCTGGCAGCGTACAGGCCCGTCGTGCGCCCCCGCTAGCGCCCCTGCCACCTGCCCAATTGTCCGCAGCCCCATAAAGGCACCTCTGCCCCAATGAGCGCGAAGGGGCATCGGAAGGATCAGAGGCCCCTCAGTTTCTGCCACTCCCAAACGCCCACTGTGGGACGCTCAGCTCCAGACAACAGCCCACAAGGATCAGCAGAGAAGCCCGTGGGCGGGGTGCAGTCCATCTCCCTACTTCTCGGGGATGGCGGGACTGGATTGGGCTCCCAAACCAGTCAGGCCAGGGTGGGGCCGCAGGATGGCTGGGGAGGGTGTGGAGCCAAGCCTCATCTGAGCAACTCCGGGCCAGAGGGTGGGCCCCACATTCCTCAGCTCTGCCCAGGTGCAGGCAGGCCACCCCCCACTCCCTGGCCATTGTGTGGGGTCTGCATCACAGGCATGTGCCCGCTGGGGCGGGAACAAGATTTCTAGCCTCTCAGAGCCCCACCCCACCTTGCACAGCCAGCTGGGCTCCTGGGTGTGCCAGGCAGGGACAGGTGGGCAGGGCGAGAGAGCCGGGCAGTCTCACCAGGAACCAGAGCCTGACACGGCCCCATGCGCGGCCCGCGGGCCTGGGAGCCAGCGCCTGGCCATGACCTGGTGACTTTCCAGATGAAGATGTTTATTTGATGGGGGGGGGGCTGGAGGAGTGGCCTTGCTCGAGCCTGGCAGCAGGCTGGCAGGTGCCGGCGGGGGGTCCCGGGGGCTGCCCCTGCCCCGCCCTCAGAGGCACAGTCCTGACGTCACACTTTCCGCGGTGCCTTCAGGGGTCATCAAAGTCTACACCACCTGCCGGCTTCTTACTGGGAGAGAAGAGGGGATGACGCTGCAGGGTGTGGAGGGGCGGGCGGGGTCCACGCTGGACCCTGGGCACAGGAGGGACGGGGGGCGGGGGAGCACCTCTTGAAGCCTGGGTTGATGAGAGACTCCCCTGGACACCGCCTCTTGACCCCAGGTCCAGGGCCACCTCTCTGAGGATCTGGGTCTGGGGAAACAGGATGAGGGCAGGGGGCTCCTGAGTCCAGCAAGATCCCAGGCCCACGAGCCCCTCTCCACAAGGACAGATCCTCGCTCTGAAGCTTGAGGCTTGTTCTGGGGGAACCGAGTCCCAGCAGAGTCAGCGTGGCCCCAACCGAGTCACTTGTGACAGGCCTTACCTGGTAAGAAGAGATGAGGCCCCGCCTGCCAGGCGCTCTTTCTGGGGCTGGGGGCCATCTCCGCTGCTGCAGCAGCTGGGGGGTGGAAAGCAGGAATGCAGGCCTGGCCGTGGGACCCTAGTGAGCCCAGGGACGGGGTGCCCACCCCCACCTACCTGCCAGCCGCTGCTCCAAGCTGCACACACGCTCCGCCAGGCCCAGCATCAGTGCCTGCAACCTGGAGGCTGCTTCTGGGCCCGGCACCTTGGACAGATCAAGTTCCAGCGCCGAGGGTCCCCCTGAAAGGGTCAGGGACGCTCTGTCCTCCTGCAGGGTGAGAGTCACAGCTTGCCGCTCGCAGGCTGCCCTGGGGAAGGAGGGGGGCTGAGTACCGTGGCCACATCCACTGCTCCCCACCCACCCTGCCTCTCTGCTGAGAGGCTCACCTGAATCGGAGGGCAATGTCTTCAGCCGCACTGAGGCCAAAACGGGCTTTCTACAGGGAAAAAGGGCTGGTCACCAGGGGCCTGAGATCCTTCAGCCTCTGGGCACACCCCCAATCTGCCCGACCAGAGCCTCCCGGGGCAGCTGCAGGGCCGTGGGAAGGGTGCCCAGGTGCTTCCGGTGAATCCCAGGCCGCCCCCTGCGAGCCCACAGGCGGTCCGCGCTGCAGGTGTGTGGCGCGGGGGGCTCCCAGCCGCCCAGGAGCCCCGTTACCCACCAGGGCCGCCAGGCCGTCCGGCGTGAAGCAGGTGCTCCAGAGTTCCGCGGCGTCCGTCACACTAAGGAACAGAGGCAGTCAGACTGGGCCGCCCGCCGAGTCGCCCGCGCCCCTCGCCGCCCCGCGAGACCCGCTACTCACCAGAGGTTGAAGCCGCCTCGTTCCCCGGGCCCGCCGCCCTCCCCCTCGCAGTAGCACACGAAGCGCGGGGGTCCGGGGCCCGGCGGCAGCGTGCAGAGAGGCGGCCACCGCGGCGGCGGCACCATGGCGCCTCGGCCGGCGGAGGGATCCGGCGGGCAGAGCCGCGGCGCCGCGGCGCGTGTTGACCCGGGGGCGCGCCTGTTGACCCCGGGCGCCTGCCGGTCTGGGGTGCCTCGGTGCCTGGGGCGCCTGCGCGGGCAAAAGGCTTCCGGAGCGGGGCGGGCTGGGGCAAGGCTTAGCCCGGGGCGGAGCCTGCGCCGTGGAGCGGGGCTACGTGCCCGGCTCCGGCTCCCGGGCTGCGCTCGCCGAGCCTGGTCACCGTCCGGGGCTCGGCCCCCCGCGCACACTTGGGGGCCTCTTTGGACCTTCCCTCTGCGCGCCCCCTGTCCCCGCTGAGTCCGGAGTTCCCCCCCTTGGCGCAAGCCCTGAGCAGGCGCAGGCTTGGCCGCCCACCACTTTGGCCTCAGATAGCTTTGTCCCCGCTCGATGGTCCCTGCGGCCTCCCCCTGGCCTCCGCAGCCCGCTTCCTGTGTCAACTGGAACAAGTCAAAATACGAAAGAGAATAAAGTATGGTAACCCGCGCCAGCCTCCCGCCCCTCGTCCATTCGCTCCGCCGTGTTTAGCCAGCACCCCTTCCTTGGTGTTGTCCCGGCCCGGAGCTCACCTTGACCGGTAGGCAGGTCTCTGATCTCCTGGATCTGGGGAGCGCCCACGGAAGGGACAATGAAGCGTGAAGTCCTCAGGTCGTGCCCAGTGTCCTCTGAGCTGCGACCCGGAAGGAGAGAGGGATGGAGCGCGCCAGGAAAGTGGGCAGCAGGCAGAGGGGGCGGCCTCTGCAGACGCCCTGCTGTGGACACAGATCAGCTCTGCTCAGGGCTTTGCGAGGCCAGGGTGACAGGACGAGGCATGCGGAGGGTAGCTGGCAGGTGGGTTTGTAAGCTGTGCTGATGGATTTCAAGCTCACCTGCAGCCAAGCCTGCCCCCCTGGCTGCTGCATCCTGTTTCACAACCCGCACCCCACCTCCGCCAGGCTCCTGCCTTGGGACCTCTGCATGCGCTGTTGTCTCTGCCTGGCACCCCTCCCCAGACTCACTCCCTTCAGGTCTTTACACAAAGGTCCCTCACTGGTGAGGCCTTCTCTTGTTTTATACCCGGTTTCAACACCCCACCCCACATCTCAGTCCTCTCTCTGAATTTACTTGTTTTCCAGCTTGTCACTATCCAAAGTACCTTCTGATTTACGTGCAGTGACAGCAGCCTCTAAGATGGTCCCCAACCGAGTGCCTCCTAGGTTTGCACCTTTGAGTACCCCTCCCCTGAGCCTGCCTGGATGGAGTCCCTCGCAGATAGCCAATAGAAGGTGGCAGAAGTGATGGACTGTCACTTCTTTCTTCCTCTGGAATTGCTCACACGGCACGAGGAGCCTGGTGGCAAAGGACCAAGGCCTGGCCAACAAGCAGCGAGGAAGCCCGGACACTGACCGTCTCCCGGCAGAGCCTTCTGATGGGAACACAGCCCCACCACAGGGCACAGAGCACCTGAGGCCAGCTTCTTCACCCTCGGAAACAGGCAGACAGTACATGCTGCTTTAAGCCGCTCAGTGTTGGGGGTAATCTTTCAGCAGTAGGTTACTAATATGGTTATTTATTCTCTTTCTTGCCCATTTTCAACTTGAGGTTCACAAAGGCAGGACTTTCTGTCCCTGTCATTCGCCACGGTATTCTCAGTGTTTAAACGGTGGCTGGCACATTTTTGTTGTTCAGTTCCTAAGTCATGTCAGACTCTTTGTGACCCCATGGACCGCAGCACGCCTTCACTATGTCCCGGGGTTTGCTCAAATTCATGTACAACGAGTTATGATGCCATCCAACCATCTCATCCTCTGTTGTCCCTTTCTCCTCCTGCCCTCAATCTTTCCCAGCATCAGGGTCTTTTCTAATGACTGAAAGAGGTATTTTAAACAAATGAATGAATGCAGAGTGGGGAGCTGTTGGCAATTTAAGCAGGGGTGGGATGGAGGTGGCACTTCTGATTTTTGTGTATAAAGCCCATGTTGAACGTCATGAGGCAGGCGCCTCAAGGGCTGCAGGGATGAAGGTGAGGGGAGCAGGGAGAATAGTAGAGGGCGGCTGAGTTCCTAGGGCAGAGCTGATGCAGGCGGGGCCAGGGGCTCAGAGTGGAGTGGAGAGAGGTAGCAGGGAGGAGGGGATGGATCACGGATGACCCCTGCATTTCAGGAGGGTAGAAAAGCCCTTCCCAAGATGATTGGAGCAGGGCAGGATTGGAGGAGACCTGGGGCCTCTCCATGTTCATTGAGTTCCTGACCTGACTGTATGTCTGATGGAGGTGAGTGAAAGCTGCTGTGCTTGCAAGGCTCTCGTCTAGACAATCAGGCCGGGAGGTGTGAGTGTGGCATCACCAGCCCCTTGTCGTCCAGTCGCTGAGTCGTGTCCACCTCTTTGCAGCTCCGTGGACGGCGGCACATCAGGCTCCTCTGCCCTCTACTGTCTCCTGGCGTTTGTTCAGACTCATGTCCATGAACTGAGTCAGTGATGGTATCTAACCACTGAGTCCTCTGTTGCCCCTTTCTTGTTTTGCCTTCAATTTTTCCTGGCATCAGGTCTTTTCCAATGAGTTGGTTCTTCACATCAGGTGGCCAACATACTGAAGCTTCAGCTTCAATAAACCTCCCAGTGAATATTCAGGGTTATTTCCTTCAGGATTGGCTGGTTTGGTCTCCTTGCAGTTCAAGGGACCCTCAACAGTCATCTTCAACACCATAGTTCGGAAGCATCAATTCTTTGGCACTCAGCCTTCCTTATTATTCAACTCTCACATCCATATATGACTACTGGAAAAACCATAGCTTTGACTAGATGGAACTTGTTGGCAAAGTCATATCTTTGCTTTTTAATACACTGTATAGGTTGGTCACACTGTTTCTTCCAAGGAGCAAGCATGTTTTAATTTCATGGCTGCAGTCACTGTCTGCAGTGATTTTGGAGACCAAGAAAAGAAAATCTGTCACTATTTTCCAGTTTTTCCCCAACTATTTGCCATGAAGTGATGGGACCATGGTGGGCCTTAGAAAGCATCACTATGAACAAAGCTCATGGAGGTGATGGAATTCCAGTTGAGCTATTTCAAATCCTGAAGGATGATGCTGTGAAAGTGCTGCACTCAATATGCCAGCAAATTTGGAAAACTCAGCAGTGGCCACAGAACTGGAAAAGGGCAGTTTTCATTCCAATCCCGAAGAAAGGCAATCCCAGAGAATGCTCAAACTATGGCACAATTGCACTCATCTCACATGCTAGTAAAGTAATGCTCAAAATTCTCCAAACCAGGCTTCAGCAACATGCGAACCGTGAACTTCCAGATGTTCAAGATGGTTTTAGAAAAGGCAGAGGAACCAGAGATCAAATTGCCAACATCCGCTGGATCATCGAAAAAGCAAGAGAGTTTCAGAAGAACATCTATTTCTGCTTTATTGACTATGCCAAAACCTTTGACTGTGTGGATCACAATAAACTGTGGAAAATTCTTAAAAAATGGGAATACCAGACCACCCGACCCACTTCTTGAGAAATCTGCATGCAGGTCAGGAAGCAAGAGTTAGAACTGGACATGGAACAACAGACTGGTTCCAAATAGGAAAAGGAGTACGTCAAGGCTGTATATTGTCACCCTGCTTGTTTAACTTATATGCCGAGTACATCATGTGAAATGCCAGGCTGGATGAAGCACAAGCTGGAATCAAGATTGCTGGGAGAAATATCAATAACCTCAGATATGCAAATAATACCAACCTTATGGCAGAAAGCAAAGAACTAAAGAACCTCTTCATGAAAGTGAAAGAGGAGAGTGGAAAAGTTGGCTTAAAACTCAACATTCAGAAAACTAAGATCATGGCATCTGGTCCCATCAGTCCATGGCAAATAGATGGGGAAACAGTGGAAACAGTGACAGACTTTATTTTCTTGGGCTCCAAAATCACTGCAGATGGTGACTACAGCCGTGAAATTAAAAGACGCTTGCTCCTTGGAAGAAAAACTATGACCAACCTAGATAGCACATTAAAAAGCAGAGACATTACTTTGCTGACAAAATTTCATCTAGTTAAAGCTATGGTTTTCCCAGTAGCCATGTACGGATGTGAGAGTTGGACCACAAAGAAAGCTGAGTGCCGAAGAATTGATGCTTTTGAACTGTGGTGTTGGAGAAGACTCTTGAGAGTCCCTTGGACTGCAAGGAGATCCAACCAGTCCATCCTAAAGGAGATCAGTCCTGGGTGTTCATTGGAAGGACTGATGTTGAAGCTGAAACTCCAAAACTTGTGGCCACCTGGTTCGGAGAACTGACTCATTAGAAAAGACCCTGATACTGGGCAAGATTGAAAGCAGGAGGAGAAGTGGACGACAGAGGATGAGATTGTTGGATGGCATCGCCAACTCAATGGACATGAGTTTGAGCAAGCTGCAGGAGTTGTTGATGGACAGGGAATCCTGGCATACTGCAGTCCATGGGGTCACAAAGAGTCAAACATGACTGAGCAACTGAACTGAACTGATGGGGCCGGATGCCATAATTATAGTTTTTTGAATGTTGAGTTTTAAGCCAGCTTTTCCACTTTCCTCTTTCACCTTCATCGAGAGGATCTCTAATTCCTCTTTGCTTTCTACCACTGGGATGGTGTCATTTGCGTATCTGATGTTATTGATGTTTCTCCTAGCAATCTCGATTCTAGCTTGAGTTTCATCTAGCCTGGCATTTCGCATGATGTACTCTGCATATAAGTTAAATAAGACAATATACAGCTTTGATGTCCTCCTCTCCTAATTTTGAATCAGTCCATTATTCCATGCCCATTCTAACTGTTGCTTCTTGACCTGAATACTGGTTTCTCAGGAGGCAGGGAAGGTGGTCTGGTATTGCCACCTCTTAAAGAATTTTACAGTTTGTTGTGATTCCACAGTAAAAGGCTTTAGCATAGTCAATGAAGCAGAAGTAGATGCTTTTCGGGAATTCTCTTGCCTTTTCTATGATCCCAAGGATGTTGGCTATCTGATCTCTGGTTCCTCTGCCTTTTCTAAATCCAGCTTGTACATCTGGAAGTTCTTGGTTCACATACTTTTGAAGTCTAGCTTGAAGCATTTTGAGCATTACCTTGCTAGCGTGTGAAATGAGTGCAATTGTGAGGCAGCTTGAACATTCTTTGGCATTGCCTTTCTTTGGGATTGGAATGAAAACTGCCCTTTTCCAGTCCTGTGGCCACTGCTGAGTTTTCCAAATTTGCTGGCATATTGAGTGCAGCACTTTCACAGCATCATCTTTTAGGATTTGAAATAGGTCAGCTGGAATTCCATCACCTCCACTAGCTTTGTTTGTAGTGATGCTTCCTCAGGCCCACTTAACTTCGCATTCAAGGATGTCTGACTCTAGGTGAGTGATCACACATTGTGGTTATCTGGGTCATGAAGACTTTTTTTTGTACAGTTCTTCTGTGTATTCTTGCCACTCCTCCTTAATATGGAACCTCCTAACTCCATTTGAAATATGGTTTCTATTTATTAATCTTTACATTTCCTCCTTTGGAGATGTTTCTCTGAAAGCATTGCTGATCAATTGGCAGTTTTTTTTTTTTTTCCCCCAGATACAGCAACTTTTTCCCCTTGATGCCAGGGAGGACCCTTCTTGGATATTGTGTCCCTCGGGAAAGGGAGCATGCACATATTGGAGATCTCTTCAGGTCACACTCAAGCAACAAGAACGGGTCAGAGGGTGCGCTCAGAAATCTCCCATCTGAAGTCTGTGTCTTAGAACAGTGGATGCAGCAAGAGCACGCTCGACCCGGGGAGAATTAAACTAGCACTCTGGGGAGACATAGTTGATGCAGGAATTAAGGCATAGGGGAGTGATTCTGGATTATACATAATTTGACTTAAACTTTAGGCTAATTAGAGCAGCCTGTCAAACATTAACTGTGCATCTGCTTTAACCATTATAAAATGAGGAGGAAGGGGAAAAATGCATTACCTGAATGTTTAGAATGTCCACTCTGAATACAGGGATAAATGCCACCTTCTGCCCCCTCCTCCCCAGTGACGACATTATATTCCTTCGAAGATGAGATTCCCTTCCCAGACACCGAGGTCATGCTGACCTGCTGTGAACCTGCTAATCTGTCTTCAAAGCTTGAGAAAATGTATCCCTATCATGTTTGGTGTTTGTTGTTCTGACAAGATATAAAACTGTGGTTCAGGCATCCACATTGGAGCCAGGTGGCCATTGTGGATGTGGTTTCAGACAGTTCCTGCCTCACTGGGAACTTGAATTTTTTAAACTGTATCAGACTCAAGGTCATCACCAACTGTTCTTTGCTAGTCACCACCACCTGCGACATTATGGTCTCACGGTCTCTCCTTGTAACTATGTATTTTGGACCCCAAATGATCTTGCTCTACCAACACTCTCCCTCCCTGTCAGCTTCAGTCCTAATTCCTGACAATTTACGTATCTTTGCAGTTTTTGCCTGTATACACATCCCTTCCCATTTTGCAGCCTGGGGAGCACAATTCAGTGCTTCTTCGATCTGGGTCTTCTGCTCTACAGTCCTCAGTTTAGCGCAAATACAACTTTTCTATTCCTATTGTCAATGTAAATCATCAATAACCAATCTGAGCTGATTAACAAGCACAGCTGGAAAGAAAGAAAAGACACAGTTTAAGAAAAAAAAACGAGAGAGAGAGGGTTGGGGGACTCTGCTGGCAGTCCAGTGGTTAGAACCCCGTGCTTCCAATGCAGGGGGCATGGGCTGGCTCCCCGGTGGGCGAACATGCCATGTGGGGTGGCCAAAAATAGGAGGTTTGGGAGGAGCCCCTGTGATTCCTCGGAGCCCGGTGCTGGGGGTTGGGAGGACGTTGGAAAGGCTGGTTAGAGGCTGAACCTGAAGGCCCCTGAGCGCTTAGGCGTGGAACATTTTCCCAATGATCTGGCTCTTTGCAGTACCGGTGGGGTCAGCGGAGGGGGCCCTTGCTGGCCACCTAAGGTCCTTGGCCTTTACGCTCTGAGAGGGGACCCACGGGCGGCTGTGAGCCGAGCAGTGGCGCGCTGTCGCTCGTGCAGCCTCGGGACGCGGGTGGGCAGCTGGCTGAAGGCTGCCCCCTTGTGGCCAGATCCGGGCGCGCAGGACTGGGCCCATCGGCAGGCGCCAGGGGCCGTGAGGGCAGACTGCATCTCCTCACGCCAGACCCGTCCCGGGGACCCTGGAGGGGACAGTGGGCGGGGAGGGCGGGGGCCGAGAGCCTGCTGGAGAGGCGGCCCCCGCCCTCCCCACGGTGAATCCCGCTCTTACGCGATTTCCACGCCATCTTCTATCGGTCTGTGTGGAAGCCAAATATCAACCAACGAATCAGCCGATCAGCTGGGAATTCCCTGGCAGCCCAGCGTCTAGGACTTGGCGCTTTCACCGCCGGGGCCCTGGGTGTGCTCCCTGGCTGGGCAGCTAAGATCCCACAAGCTGTGCATCTCGACCAAGGGAGCTGGCGGAAAGCACGTTGAATAGATCAACTGGTTCATCGCTGGTCCCTCTGCAGACGCCTGTCTTGTGGGCAGCTGGCATCTTGGGTGGGAGGTGCTGGCTCTCTGGGCCTTCCCACCTACTGCCCGCCTCTGCGGGACAGGTGTCAGGCTGGGGGCAGGGGGAGACGGGACAGGTCCCACCCTGTGGTGCCCAGAGCAGGCCAGAGTCTGGCAGGTCGGCCAGGCAGCAGTGTCACTGGCGGGGCTCCAGCTGTGCAGGGGTGAGGGGCTGTCTGGGGCCCCTGGGACGTGGGGGCTCTTCCTCCCAGTGACCGCGCTGCCCGGAAGGGCCCAGAGGGAGAACGCTAGTCTGGTAGGACCGGGCTGTTTCTACTGAAGAACATCTAACCAGCTGAAGAGCAGAAACAGTGGCATAGCTAGCTGTCACCCGGGACCACGGTCCACTTTTCACATGTTTACATCTTGCTCGATTGTTTTTTGAACGAGTTACAGCACAGATGCCATTCCATTTCACCCTGAGACGATTCAGGGCCAGCCGTGAAAGGACAGCACTGTTTCCCTCATCAACACAATGGCAGGACAGAGATCTGTGGGCAGGGGTCAGGGAGAAGGGTGCCGGAGGGCAGGCTGAGATGGATGCAGTGCAGGCACCCCCCGGGCTGTGGTGGGGGGAACCCAGTGGGGGGACCCCAAGGTCTGTGGTGTGGGGGACCGCCAGGACTGTGGTGGAGGGGACCCAGTGGGGGGGACTCCGAGGGCTGTGGTGTGGGGGACCCCCGGGCTGTGGGGGGGGACCTGGTGGGGGGACCCCCAGGGCTGTGGTGTGGGGGACCCGGTGGGGGGGACCCCCGGGCTGTGGTGTGGGGGACCCGGGGACCGAGGAGCCCAGGTGCGTAACCGGCGTGGGTCGGGGGTCACATTCTCAGGCGGCTGCATGTCTGCACCCCTGACCTGGCGCCTGGGGTCCGAGGGGGACTCAAGGAAGCCACTGAGACGCCTTGTCCGGCCACCAGAGGAGCCGCGTCCCTCGGGCCTAACGTCTGCCCAGGCGGTGGGCAGGGTTGCCGGGCAAGTGTCCTGCCCTGTCCCTCCAGGGCCCGGGAACCAGCTGCGGAGCGCTCCCCGGCGGGGATGGGACCCGAGACGCACTCAGTTCCTCTCAGGCGGCCCTCTCGCGGGGCGCCCCCGCCGCGGCCCACCCGGCCCTCTGCCCCTACGTCCAAGAAAGGCTCCGCGCCGGCTATGGAGACTCTTTATTGTGCTGGGGGCTGGGTGGAGAGGCAGCCGCACCTTGAGGAGGGCTGGGCCGCGGGTCCCGGGACCACCGCCGCGCTCCAGCTCCTGCGCCGGGGCCCCGCTGGGCCGGCGCTCGCGCCTCGCCCGCCCCGCCCCCACAGTGGGCGCGGCTCTCCGGGTGGGCGGGGCCTGCAGGATGGGCGGGGCCCCCCGGGTCTGCTGGGCGCTGGGCAGCTGTGGTCCAGGCCGGCCCGCGCTCACCTAGGCCAGGACCTCCGCGCACTGGTCTGTGGAAGAGAGCAGGTCCTGAGGAAACGCCCGGCGCCCCCTCCCCACCTCCCCCGAGGGGCCAAGCCCTCTCCCGCCTGTGACCCCCTCCTCCCTCCTCTGGCGCTCCTGTTGTGCGTCCAGCGCCAGAGGAGCGGGCCTCGGGGCCTCCCGCACCCCCCACACCGCAGCCTGGGTCGGGGGTCCCCCTGCCCCTGCAGCGCTGGGCGGCCTGGAGATGGTGCTCACCTGACTTGGGCAGCAGGACTCCCTGGCCGGGGCTCAGGCCCAGCTGCGGTGCCAGCTGCTGCATCCTCTGGGCGCCTTCAGGAAACAGCTCCGGGGCCCGGGCTGAGGACAGGGCGCCGTGAGCAGAGCGGGCGTGGGCGGGGGGCCGGGGCAGGAAGGGGCCCAGGGAGGTGCTGGGAGATGCTGGTTCCACCTGCCTCCCAGCCAGGGCTCGCTGGGGAGGCACGGGGGACGCTGCAGGGCACACCGCCCACGTGACCCCAGAGGAGGCCAGATGGGGCCGGGGTGGTGCGAGTGCGGCCCTTCAGGCGGGTGGGTCTCCCACCACCCGTCACCCACCGTAGAGCTGCAGCCAGACGTTCTTTACGCCCCCCTTCTGGGTCTCGAAGTACATCACAGCGAAGTGCTTGTAGTCAGTGAAAGCCACCCTGATGTCGGTCTGCGCCATCGCTGGAGAGGGCGGGAGCCTACTGGGCTGGGCGCCGGCCCGGACGCCCCCTGCCCGTCCCCACGGTCCCGCGAGCTGTCCCGCCGCCCAGCCCCGCCCCCCACGCGCTGGCCTCACCCGCGTTGCTGAACTGCCCGTCCACTGCCCCCCTGGTGAAGGTGCTGTCCGTCTCTTGGCACCCGCCATCGGGCCTGGGAAGGGGACCCCAGCGGCCTGAGCTGCAGCCCCTGCCCACGGCCCAGCCCCAGTGGGCGTCCCGAAGACAAACTGCCTGACCGTGACAAAAATGGCTGCCACTTAGCTGCTGCCAACTGCCCCACGTAGGGGGAGATATCCAGCCTGCCCCAGGGCCACCTGTCTCCCATCAGAGCAACGCTTGATCACACAGGTGCTTTATGATTCACTTATAGGAGAGGAGACACCCCGGGGCAGAGGGACACAGCCAGGGGACGCGGGGCCTGTGGGGTCTCCCCGTCTCCCCTCCAGACACCAGCACGCCTGCATGCGTGCACACACACACACACACACACACGGACACAGCTCCCCCACGCCCTCAGGTGGGGCCCCTCTGACGAGCAGGTGGGCGGGGCTGCTGTTTCGCTGGCCCTGCAGCCTAGCACGGGTGGGGCCTGGCTCTGACCCCTGATGGCTCGAGCACACCCCTGCCTCCTCCTGGCTCCCACCTGACCACACACTGGCTGGGCCTAAGGCCATTCCAAGGTGGGACTCCTGGGATCACTTACGTGGGAAACCCAAACTTGATGCCCAGGTCGCCGTTGGCCAAAGAGGTCACCAAGACCACAGGCATCTTCATGTTGTCCTTGGCATCCAGGAAGCCCTGGTCGTCCGACACCGCCCCAACCACGTACCAGGGGCCCTGGAACTGCAGGGGGACAGGGCGAGCTGGGGGCAGCCCCGGCTGCCACGTCAAACCTGACCCGAACTTGGGGGGCAGCTGCAACTCATCTGGCTGGTGGCCCGGCAAGTGGTGGGGACAGAAGTCAGACTTGGGGCCGAGGGGCCTACTGTCCTCTGCAGAGCACCCCCCACCAAGTCAGCTGGGCAGATGGTCCCCTCGAGCTGAGCTTGAACCAGAGTGGGGGCTGGGCTGGGTTCCCCCAACCCTCTGGCCTGTCTCCTAGAACACAATCAGAGAGAGGCGGCCAGCCTGGGCACGTCCGTGCGCACCTGGCTGGCATCGAAGTCGGCCTGGATGGGGACCTGGGCCTGGCCTGGGTCTGCAGTGAGCAGGGCGAGTGTCCCGCTGATCAGCAGCATCTGCAGCATCCTGGAAGGCGGCTCTCGTCGATGGCACGGGTCTCGGGAGCAGGACAGGAGGGTTGGGGTGGCGTCTCCCACTGTGCCTTTATGCTCCTGAGACACCCTGGGACACTGGCCTACCCGCCTGGGACAGACCCCACTGTGATAGGCTCTGATCAGGTTGCTCCCTGGGGCGCTGGCCTGCCCACCTGGGACAGGCCCCACTGTGATAGGCTCTGATCGGGTTGCTCCCTGGGGCGCTGGCCTGCCCGCCTGGGACAGGCCCCACTGTGATAGGCTCTGGTCGGGTTGCTCCCTGGAGCACCCTGGCCCAGCGGGTCCCCACCAGACCCCGCCCATCCTTCCTGGGGAGGGGGCCGGATGCCCCAGGGCAAGGGGAGGGGAAGGCCTGGCAGGCCCTGTGGGATGTGGCCTCCAGCCCTGGGCTCAGGCAGAGCCTCGAGAAGCCATTCCAAAAGCTCACCCTCACCTCTGACCCTCACAACCTGGGTGCCTGGACAGGGCCTGGTGGGCAGGTTGCTGTGGGTAACACCTTGTGAGCCAGGAGGGCCCAGGACAGGGCCCGAGAACGGTCACACAGGCGGAGGACCTGGGGGACAGCGGGAGGTGAAGGGCGGGCTGGGAGGGAGACCTTGCATGAGGCTCTGGGTTAGCTCGGGTGCCAGAGGCCGGCGAGTGGGCAGGGCTGTGCCCTTGAGGCCCAGGCCAGAGGCCGGGGGCTGGGGGCTCTCAGGAGGCCCCAGGAGATGGCCGTCTCCAGCCCACTCGGTCAGTCCTGTGCGGGGCGCATGGACACTCCAGCCTCCTTCCTCTCTGCGCCCTCAAACCCTTCTCTCTGCCCAGTCTGAGGGCGCTAATCCCATTCCTTCAGAGCTGCCCTGGGTCTCGGCCTCTCCTGGCCGGGTGGGGACAGACTGTGGGCACCTGCCCAGAGCCGTCGGCTGTAGCTGCGCCTGGAGGGGGTGGCCGGAGGCGCAGCAGTGGGTGAGGTCCGGCCGCGTGGAGTGGTTGGGGACACAGCTTCCCTGGGCTGTCCAGGCTTCCGGCCAGCCGCCTCTCCCACGCCTTCAGGGGCCGAGCTAGTGCGCCCCTGCCCGCCCCCTTGGGGCATCCCGCAGAGCTGCAGATTTCACAGAGGGTGAAGGGACACCCAGGCCCAAAGCAAAGTGGGGGGCAGTCAGGTCCCTGGAGAGCTGGCCAGAGCCAGGCCCAACTGCAGGACAGACAGTCGTGAACCAGGAGCTGATTTGCTTCCGGAGTTTATTCTCAGAGCCGGGATAAAGGCTGAGGCAGGGTGGGAATGGCAAAGGGGCTGGGGTCTCGGGCTGGGGTCTCGGGTGTTGCAGGAAACGGCTGAGCAGGGCAGGAGGGCCAGGTCCTGAGAGCCGGGCTCACCTGGGCAGGAGAGTGGGACCTGTGGGTGGGGCCGGCCATGCGCCCCCCCACCCCAGGAACCCGGCCCCTCAGTCTCAGGTCGCGAGGGCCCGTCCACCGAGGAGGCCTCTCAGCAGAGGGAGCCGGCCTCCCCGCCGTCCCCTGGTCACCCCACCCCAGTCCTGTCCCGGCCGCCCGCTCCGCCCGCTCCCAGTGACCTTGCTGAACCCCAGCGGAGGCCCCTCCGTGAAGCAGCCCTCGTCGGCCGGGGGCCAACCCTCGTGGCAGATGGGACGCTGTTGGTGAGCGCGTGTTGAATGAACGAGTGAGGGGGGCCTGCTGGGTGAAGGTGGCCCCCAGCCCCCCACTCACCTATGTGTGCTCCTCCATGCACTTGTCTGCCAAGAAAGAAGCCCAGGCCTGCGGTCAGTGCACCAGGCCCGCCCCCTCCCGCCCCCTGATGCAGCCCTGGAGAGCATCTCGTGACCCCTTAACTGCTGACTGTCACCCCCATCACTCCCGCCCCTCCCCCAGGCTCTGTCTGCCCCTCCAAGAGGAAGATCCGGTCCCCTCCCCCGGGCCCAGAGCAGGCTGCCTTGGCAGGGAGGCCGTGGGCGCTTCAGGGAGCCCGCTGAGCCCCGTGTGGTTGTCCCCATGTCCCGACGCGGATGCCCGTCCACACGCTCTGTTTCTAGGGCCTGCCCTGCCCCGTCCCAGGCTGGGGACCTTCGCATCCCAGGGGCCCACCCGGGGCCTGGCACACGGTGGGTTCGTGGTGAATCCGGGGAGGGGGTGTTTCCTGGGGAGCATCTTCCTGGGCCCGGCCCGGGGGCCGCAGGCCAAGGTCACGGTGTGAGGACAGACTGCCCCCGCTCCGGAGGCCGTGCCCCGGTCAGTGGGCAGTCTGGCCGGACGGACTCCACCCCTCGGCCTCCCCCGGATCAGGGATCAGGAGACGGTCTGTCTGCCTCTAACCTGACCTTAATCCCCTCCCGTCAGATTAGCGTGCTCACCAGTCTTCGGCAGGAACACAATGCCTTCCTCTGTGAAGCCCAGGCTCTTGGCGAAGGTGGTGAACTTTTCCTTGACCTCAGCTCTGGGGGTCTGGGTGCGGCCTGGGGCAGGGAGGAGAAGCCTTCAGCCTCCATTGGTCTGCAGCATCCCCGCTCTGCCCCTGCTCCTGAGGCCGGGGCGCCCCCAGACGCCCCCACGGGTGGTGCCCCAGGCCGGGCGGTGGGCGCGGCATGGGGCACGTACTGTACAGTGTGGCCATGTGGAAGTCCTGGCCCGGGCCTCGGACACTCTCGGTGGAGAGCAGGGCGTAGGTCTCGTAGTCCGTCTCCACCACCGACACCTCGTGGGTGCTGCTCCAGTCTGGAAACCCGGGAGACAGCCCCGTGGGGCCCAGTGTCCCCAAACCAGAAGGGCTCATAAAATCAGGGGTGCATGGGACCGCCACAAACCCCCACAGCCACACCCCTCTGGGGAGGAGGAAAGATGGCCAGGGGGATGTCATCCCCAGGCAGGGGCAAGGAGGGCAGGGATCCTGGGGCGCAGAGCTGCCTGAGGAGGGAGGGGAGCGCGGGGCACAGACAGCTGCAGAGAGCCCTGCATGGGGCTGCTGGGCAGACCCAGGCCGACCCTGGTGGGGCGGCCACCCCCACCCTCCCCCGCACTGCCGGGCAGGGCGTCGCCCAGAGTCCCAGCCAGCAAGTGTCGCTCCTGGCTGCACTCACGAGGGCTGGTGTAGGTGTAGCAGCCCGGGGGGCCGGCGGGGCGCAGCAGTAAGGTTCGGGTCTCACACTGGTCTTTCCTGTGGGCAGGTCACCCTGGGGTCAGGGGTCAGGCGTTGGGGGTGTCCCCAGGCTGCGACCCTGCGCCGGGAGCTCTGGGCCCCAGATGCCCGCCCCGCCGCCCACCTGAGGAAGGTAGAGGTGAGGTTGAGGCCACCGTCCGCCGCGGGGCCCACCACGGACTTGCACATGGACAGCACCTTCTTCTTCTCCAGGAACCAGCTCGAGTTGGAGGCGAGGCCCGAGGTGAACCAGAGCCCCAGGAACTGCGGCGAGAGGACCCCATCCCGGTCGGCCGGAACCCTCCAGGACCCGCCGGGGGTGGGCGGCCCGCCGGGCTGCGTCCCACCCCGGCCCCCCGCCCAGCCCGCCCCACCCCGCCCCACCCCGCCTGCTCCGGCGCGGCCCCGCCGGGCTGCGTCCCACCCCGGCCCCCCGCCCAGCCCACGCCACCCCGCCTGCTCCGGCGCGGCCCCGCCCCCTCGCGGGGTCCCGCTCCCGCCGGCCCGGGGACCGGCAGTAGGGGGCGCCGGGCAGTCCCTAGCGGGGTCGGATGCGGGCGCGTGCGCGGGGCGCGGGGCGGGAAGACCCGCCCCGACGTGCCTCCGCCGCACCGCCGCAGGCCTCCGCGCGCGTGTTCACGCAGCGGAGGGGGCGCGCTCGGTTCCGACGCCACCCTGAGCTCCTCCGTCTTCTGCGCCCTCGCGCGCGGAGGTGTGTCCCCAGCCCAGGTGCGGGAGGTGCGCCAGTTTCCCTGGGCGTCGTGAGCTCGTTGGGCTCACCGTGTTGGGTTAGGGGTGGCGGCGCGCAGGTGGCCCGCGGGTCTGACCAGCGCGCTCCCGCTCACAGGCGCGTCCCTGCCCGTCGGTGAATCTCCTGGGGAGGCCTCTCCCGGTCAGCCTTCTCCCGCCAGGCCAGCCCTCCTTCTCTTCTGCTCCCCCTTCCCAGGGAGAGCACCCCACTCCCCACGGGCACCGCCCTGTCTCTGCGCCAGGCAGGGAGCCCTCACCTTGTCCTCTTGGAAGTTGGGCTGCAGGGTGGCCTGGGCGGGGGCTGGGGTCTGCAGGACCCCCAGGACCCCCAGCAGGAGCAGCCCCATCCACAGCCTGTTCGGAGTGGCCATTCTCCCAGGACTGGGCTGGCGGCACAGGCAGAGAGGCGGGCAGGAGGCAGGGAGGCCACCCGGAGACCCCTATTTATGGGCCTGGCTTGGCCTCCACCCAGGCCCAAGGACAGCCCACTGCAGGCTCGTGACCCGGGGGGAGGACAGGGCAGCAGCGGCCTCGCCCCCCACGGGGCTGCTTATGTAAGAGGCACCGACTGGGACAGCCTGTGCCTGCCCCCCAGGCCCAGCCGGGGGGGGCAAAGGCCCCCGCACGGCGGGCACCTTCTCCAGCCTTGGAAGCAGCCTGGTTGGGGGCAGGGGGCAAGTGCCTTGGTGCTGCCCTGCCTCTGGGGTCTCTGGTCACTTGACTCCCCTCACAAGCCCCACCATTGTTCTGTGTCCGAGCCTGGTAACCCTGGGAGGCGACACAAGGCCCTGTTTGCACCGCCTGAGTTTCGTCCCGGAAGGCCCAGCAGGCCAGGGGGTGATGGGAAACTTGGGCCAAAGGAAGGAAGCCAAAGCTCCCCTGAGTGGAGCCCGAGGGCCTGGTGTGCGACACAGCGTCCCCGGAGCCAGATGGCGGGGTCTGGCTGGGAGCCCCCGGGGCGTCCTTCCCAGCCTGGGACCCTCTGGCCTTGGGCAGAGGCCCATTCCTTGTACCTGCACACTTCCACACCTGCACATCTGCAGTGGCCCCACCCAGCCTGTCCTATCACCTGGGGTGCCAAGCTGGTGCCTCCCCAGGGGCCAGAGGACGTGAGGTTCCCCCGCCCTGCACAGAGGGCTGCCTCCTTGGGTTGACGGGCTGTCTCTGAGGTCCTGGGCCCTGTTCAAATCTGGCAAGTGTCCCCTGTCCCTCTGGTCCTGACCAAGGCCACCCCAGACTAGCCGGGGCCTCAGCACAGGACCGAGTGGGGTCAGCAGCTCTGAGCAGCAGTGAGCAGGTGGGTGCGCGTACCTGGGGTGGGGGCTGGGGAGGTGAGGCTGGGGAAGGAGGTCCCGAGCGTGGAGCATGGTGCAGAAACAGTGGGGACACGGCTGTGGCTGGGGGCATGGAGCTGGCCCTCCCCCGGGGCCCAGCCCACCGCGGGGTGCAGCCCCTTCCCGGTGCTTGGCACCGTCCGCCCGGAAGCTGGCTACTTGGCAGCCTGGCCTCTGGCTTTGGACCAGACCCAGGGCTGTCCGGAAACTGCGCGGAAGGGGAGGCGTGGACTGGGCCAGCTCCCTGAATGGAGCCGGCGTGGGCCCTGCCACCCACCTTGCAGGGGCAGGACGGCGGGCCCCGGGCCCACAGGGTTCCTAATGAGGGCAGGGTGCCTGCACCTTGTTCCCCCGGCTTCCTGGGCCCAGCCAGACCCTGCTGTGGGGGGGCCCCCGCCCAGGGTCCCAGAGCAGAGTCGGGTTTTTTGAGGGGCACCATGAAGAGGGTCTCCTGCGTTCTCACTGGTGCCAGGGCTGGCGGGGCCGTCCCCGGAAGAGGCCAATGTGTGGGGCCGGCAGAGGAGGCTGGGGGTGCAGGGCAGTGGCGAAGGGAGGTGGGGTGAGGTGGGGAGGGCTGCGGTGTCGGGGCGGGCCCAAGCAGGCCTAAGATCCCCACCGCTCTGCCCTGGCCTCCCATGCACCCTGCCCCTCCACCGGCTCACGGCCGTGGGGGGACAGTCTGTCAGGAGCAGACAGGAGTTGGGGGGCTGGTCCTGGGCCCTGCACCGCCCTGGGGCTGCCCCAGGCCGTAGCCTGGCCCAGGGGCAGAGCAGGGGGCCCCTTTCAGGATGGCAGAGGGGCAGGAAGAGGAGCGTGGATGGAAGGCCTGGGACATCTGCGTGGCCCCAGGCCTCCTCCCGCTCCTGCCGAGCCGGGCGGCTCTTTGGCTGTGGGGAGGCTCCTGGCTCCGCGGGGCCGAGCTGCGTGCCTGCCCAGCCCCTGTCACGCCAAGACCAGGGCGCCTCCACCAGCGGCAAACGTGTCACAGAGCAAGGCAGGGGGTTGATGCAGGTGGAGGGTAGAGAGCGTGCCAGAGGAGGCGGCCCAGGACACGAGGACCACGGACCTGGGCCTGCACGTCTCTGGTGGGCAGGCCCCGCCCGCCACAGGAGGGGCCCTCAGGCCGGGTCCCCCGGGTCCCTCTCAAGGGAGCAGAGAGGCTCTGGGGACCCAGGGCGCCCACACCCAGGCTCAGGGTCAAGGAGTACATCCGCCTCCCTCTTCTGCCCACAGACACCACTGCCTCCTCCCTCCTCTCCTCCCCTGCCCCCAGACTGGCCACTGCCGCTGACCTTAGCCTGGATGAGGCTGGGGGTTTGGAGGAGCAGGAACTGCATGGGCCCCTCGGCCTCCCTGTGGCCCAGACGGAGGTGGGCGGCTGGGCTGGCTCATCCACACTGTGGAGTGAGGAACTGGGCTTCAGACCCCTTCTGCGTGGGCCATGTTCAGCAAGAACCCCGGGTCTGCAGGGGTCAGGGCGGGGGTGGCCGCTCTTCCCCCGGGTCTCCAGGGGTGGGCTGAGGACTCCTGAGGGCCCCCGTGGAACACCTCGGAACGCCGGCTATTGGCGGCCACCATGCCCACTGCACGCCGCCCTCCAGGGCCCCGCGGGGCAGGCGGCTGGGGCTCAGCCCTGTCTGGCCAGGAGGCCAGGCTCCCCATCTGCCTGCTCAGGCCTCTCCCCGAGAGCCATGCCCGACAGCAGCCAGGGCTTCTGCGAGGAAGGACACTCAGGCCGCCTCTCTCGGCTCCCGCACACCTCCCAGGCCCATCTGGGCGGTGGGGGCCTTGAGATAAAGTTCTCACCCTGAAGATCGAGACGAGGGTGGTGGGCGAGGGGGAGCCCGCCCAGGCAAGACGGGGGCAGGGCTGCAGCTGGAGGGCCCCCGCCCAGCCCACGACACAGGAGGCCCCCCCTCCGCTCAGATGGGCCTGGTCTTCCCTCGGGGCCTGGCCGGCCTGCGGCCCTGGGCTCTGGATCCTGCTCAGACCTCCTCCTCGGGCTGCTCCCCAGGGCGGTGGGGGGCTTCCCTACCCCCGCCCCCCATCTCAATGCCTTCCTGTCATGTCCGCTCCCAAGTGGCTGACCCTCTGAGCCCCAGTCTGCTCCGCGCTACTGACCCCTCCCCAAGCCCGACCAGCCCCACCTTCCCTGTCCCCCAGTCCGCGCCCCACCCTCCCGCCCCCACCAGCCCTGCGGATCCCCCAGTGTGGCCTCCTCCTTCCAGGCTGCTCAGCGACTACTGCGGGGCAGCCACTCTGATGGCCGATGGCTGGAGGAGCAGCTCTTTCTGCCTAAGAGCTTCTGCCTGTCTTCCTAATGCGTTCCCCACCAGAGAGAGGCTGGGCCGCAGAGGGGCTGGGACTGGGCGGAGCCCCCAGTACGCCCTGCACCCCGCCCCTGCCAGCACCCCTGGGCAGCCTGGCCTGGGGCCGGGAGAGGGGCAGGGGGAGTGGACAGGGTGAGCCTGGGCTGGAGGACAGGGTAGGCTGGTCTCCCTGCAGCTCCCGGGAGCGCGGTGTGCTGTGCCCGTGGGCCTTGTGGGAGTCAGAGCGTGGACCTGGGCAGCTCTGTTCCAGGAGCCTCTTTGCAGCGCTGGGGGCTTCTGCAGGCAGGGCTGGGCTGAGGCTTGGGGGCCCTTCCCCAGTCCTCCCAGAAGTCAGGCTTCCAGGACCCTGAGCAGAGTGCGGTTGGGTGGGGGCTTGGGCCTGGCCCTGCTCCGGAGGACCCAGGGCATGATTTCAGGGCCCAGGAAGCAGTGCCGGGGCAGCTGCTGGGCCCCACAGTGGGAGGAGGCGGCCCCCTGAGGGCGCTGTTGATGGGGGGCACACGGCACCAACCCCCCCCCGGGGGGCAGCGACTAGGTTCTGCCAGGTCCCGGTGAGGTGGGACCCTCGCCAGCAACTCCCGCCGGGGTGCCTGCAAGGTCTCTCCCTTCCTTTCCTGCCTGCAGGCCGTGCAGGACGGTGGCTGGGGAGGGGCGGGCGGGGGCGTCTCGGGCACCGGGGCTCCCCACGCACGGTCCCGCTCCCGTGGCTCTGCTCGGAGCTTGGCTTGCCTGTGGTCAGCCCTCCAGGCCAGGCCTCCTCTGCCCTCCAGGTGGGGGCTGCGCGCGGGACGTAGGGAGGCAAGGCCCCTCCTGGCACCCGCTGAAATTCGAGCCGCCAGTCCTGGAAGCCCAGGCGCGCTCGCTGGTTCTCTGAGGGACAGGCAGGAGGGGCGGCTGAGAGGGCACAGCCCTGCCCGGGAAGGCAGGGTGGCTTCTCTGAGCCAGGGAGGCTGGAGCTGGCCTCTCAGGAGCCCACCCCCAGCCCTGGCATCAGAAGGGGCCCCCCAGAGGCTGACCCAGGGTCCCCCTTAGGCTCCTCCCCTCCTCCGGGCCCATCGCGGTACCCGGTAGCTTTGGACGTGACTGGACCCGGGCTGTCTGTGGGCCCCAGGGGCACGTGAGCTGCAGGTCAGCAATAAGCAGAGCTGAGGCTGCAGTTCCCATGGAGCCCAGGGTCTGGGCATGAGGGGGAACGGGCGTCTGCCCGGGAGGGTAGACGCTGGCCGCAGGCATGCCAGGGGTTGGCCTAGACCTTGGGAGGTCACAGACGCCATCCCCTCCTTCTGGCTGGGCAGGTTGGAGCCAAGCCCCAGCCCCAGCTTGATCTCCCTGGGGGCAGTGACGGGTCCCAGCCTCCGCACTGCATCCCCCGACATGGCTGGCCCTTCAGAGCCCAGGCTGTCCCCCCCCCGGTGGCCCCTCGCTGACCCACGTCACGGGGAGTCATAGGGCCCTGGTAGATCACACCTGCTTGCTGCTTGGCCATCAGCAGCGCCCCCCACCTCACCCAGACTGCGGGAAGGGGCTCCGAGGGAGCTGAAGGGCAGGGGGCATCCCCCCCAGACGCCACCTCACCCCTCAGGCCAGCCCCTCACCCTCCAGGTGGCTTACAGCCCTCGGGGCTCCCCCCTTCCAAAATGCTCCTCCCGTGAGTGGGTCCCCAGCACGGAGATTTTAAGTGGAAGAGGGGCAGAACCCTGGGTCACC